AAACAATAACTTTGTTTAGACATACTTGTAAATTAAAGAAAATATTAAAAATATATATTACTTCAAATATATATTATTTCAATATTTAAATTATAATAAAATAATCCATATAACACTTACCTTATTAGCCTTTGCATTGAGTTTTTTTTTTCTCCAGATATCGCAAATGGTCTGCTACTGCTAAATTTTTAAAAACTAACTTCTTCTCATCAGGAAGAGATGCAAAAGTTTTTGCAATATCTCCCTTAACTTATTAAAAGATAATTAAGATAAAAGAATTATTTACAATCATTCATTCAAATTTTACACTATATTAAAATTATACATTTCAAAAGAGCATATTAATACACCTTATTTGTTAATTTCATCTTTTTATCCTTTTTGTTTTCACAACAAATGGATTCACTTTCAAAGAAAAAATAATTATTATAAACTAAATTTAATCATCAACATCAACATCAATATATAATAAATTTCATAATGTAATGAACAATAATACTTACAATTATGTCAAATAAAAAAATAGCAACATATGTACGCATCTTGCTAGTAAAAAACAAAGGCATTCTTTGATCTCTTTGGACGACAAGATTTGTTAATGACTTGGCCTTTGTTGACATCTATGTTTTCATGTTTTTCGCCTTTTTCCAAATTGAAATCCATGTAAGAAGTTTTTATCATAGTCTCAAAATCTCTCATTATTGTTGTCACATATTTTCTAACTGCAGTATCTGTAAAATTGTATTACAAAGTAAATATAACCAGTCTCAAACAGGATTATGAATTGAATAATTGTTGTGACAAACATAGAACAAATACCAAAGCATAAATTAAGAAGTTATACAGTAATGTATGTTCAAACACAATTAGATTTTTGTTAACTTATAAACCATATTATTTTTAAAAAATTTTAATAGAAAAGAAAAGAAAAAAATTACAAAAATACAAATTATCCCTATAAAATTTTAAATCAATTCCATAAGCTAGTTATTGATTTGAATGATACTCAAAACAGTGAGTTCAAATATAGGAAAGTAACAATGATCTAAAAATTTTCTAAATCACCATGAATTAGATAGTATTATCATAATTACAATTTAATTCAATCAAAACAAGAAGGAAATTTACTAAAGATCACATGGTAAAACGAATTGTCATAACAAAACTATTCTTTTGACATCCTTTCTCTATGCAAATTCACACTCTTTTAATAAAAAAAAAAAAGCACTTCATGAGCCACAAGAAGCAATATAACATACCTGTAGGCATTGCCTTAGAAGTAGCCTTAGGTAAAGTCTCTTGTCTTGGAAACTTTCAGACCAGGAATGGCTTGATATTGTAACCTTGCTGCAACAAATTAAGAAGTTAATTGAGGGTGAAGGAAAATAAACTTGGCCAGGAAACTCTCAATAAAATATTATAAAAAAATTCCTTCATTAGGAGAGAACCCATTTTGTAGGGAGAGTTCTCATCTCCCATGACTCTTCTATCAAAGAGAGTCCTCCTCTCTTGACTTTTTATTTTTTTTAATTTTATTTTCTTATTAACAGGTTGAACTTGTTTATCAATTTTTTGATCACTTTTAAATCAATGACTGTAGTTTAATATTATAAATCTTATGATTTTTATTAATTGGCCTTACAGTAAAATCAAAAATAATGATCTTACGGTAGAATTTGCCATTATTCTTGTATTTCTACATTTTATATAAAGTAATTCTAAATTAGAAAATTACTTTTAATTTACTTGGTTTTATCTTTCCATATGAATGGTTTTTTAAAAAAAATAAAAAATAAAAAATATGATATCAAAAATCAAGATTAGAAATATTTCACAAATTAATTAAAATATGACCTTAATTAAAAGAGTTGATAAAATCTTAACCCAATTTGATTTGATTCTAAAAGCCATCACCTGAACCCGAAATGATCTCAAATCTAAATAATTAAGATTCGAAATAACTGAAACCTAAAATGAAAGCCAACCTGGTGCACCCATTTGCCCATCTTAATTAAGGTGGGGATGTTGGTTGAAGACTGAAGCCATAGCACTCCAATCTTTGGTCAATGAAGATGTTGAATCACGCCATGGTTTACCTCCTCCCCATGACATTATCACCCACCTCCACACTTCAAAGTATTCAAATTAAAAATAATAAAAAGAAATGGAAGCTTTAGAACAAGGGGATGTGACGACGGAAGGTTTTCAAAGAAGAGACAATAAAAGGGTTAAATATACTCATTCTCCAAAGTTTTGTTTGAAATTATAAAAAAAAAATTATTAATTTACGAAATAAATATTTTATTTCAAAAAAATGTTTATCACTAGACCTTAATATTTTCATTAATTTGAGAATATAATAATATTAAAAAAATAATATTATTTTTTATTAATTTAAAATATTATTATTATTATTATGTTTTTTAAAGGGAGAGCCCAATTGTGCCCCCGAGGGAGCACGCTCGGGGCTACCCAGGGAGCATATTGTTCCCTTGGGGGCAGCCCGATTTGGGGGCTCCCGAAGGGAGCATCAGCGGGGATCTCAAGCACCGAATCTTGTGCTCCCTCGGGACTCTGGTGCTCTCCAGTGCTCTCCATGGATGGTCGATCGATACAAAGACGTAATCAGCCCACCTGAGAGAAAGAAATCACTAAATAAAAAAGAAACAAAACATTGATACTGTCTAAACATTTAAAACGAAATGTTTATTTAAAAATTAATAAATTTTCATGGAATTTTAATTAAAATTTAAAAATGAAGGTATTTTACACAAAACAAAAGCATTCTTGAACAGATATATTACAACTTCCAGCTTGTCATTTGGACATTTGAACAAAACAAGGCAAATATTGTGATGCAAACACAATATACTCAATAAATACCTCTTAACCTTTTTTTCTTTCTATTTAACATAATTGCAATCTGCTCAAACACATTAAATTTCCTACCAGGATCAAGCCAACCCCATAACAAAAGCCTTGGAGCCCCCACTCCCCCCTAGTTTAAAAAAAAACAAAAGAGCTATACAACATGTTAAACTGACAAAAAACACACCACCTATGACCTACCCCATCCCCAACCATCACCATTACTGTCACTCATATGCACCTCTGCCACCACCAGCACCACCAAATCTTAATAGAAATAAAAGAAAAGAATCAATCTTTAAAGACGGTAGCTGGAAAAGTTTACAATGGACATGCTACTAAACTGGTATAACATCATTCTTCGATGTATCTTCACATCTCAATACGATACCCTCGAGACCAGCTGGGAAGATACAGTTTCCCCACTGGCATCCTGTCGTCATTGGCTCGGGCGGAGGGACAATCATGAGCACATTGTCATTTCTCTGAACAACTCCCATTACACTAACCGTGCTTCCTTCTTTGATATACCTACAAATACAACAATTTGTAATTTTCAAAGCCACAACTAGATCTGCATTTTTCCAAAACCAACTTATTCTAAAATGAAACAAGAAAAAGATGATTCACATGCTGGTCTTAGTCATTCGAAACTTTCTCAACCTGAACAGGCTTTCAACCTGCCTTCATCCAACCCCAACTGCCTACCCCCAAAACAACTCAAAAAAGAAAGAGAGAGAACCGTGTTTCACTTTATTATTGTTCACATAATTCAATTTGATAACTACCTTCAACACTAATAGAATGGTGGTCAATTCAACCATAAATGGGTTGATTTATGCAACATTATGTAAACCTATGATAACAAGTTGCACAATTTATATTCCGCATCAATCTGAGCCCATAAGATCATCCCAAAAGCAAACCTTGCTTCAGGCTCACGATCTCATCTCAGTTCCAAGGCACATGAAAACTGCTGTCACCTAATCCGCATAGCTAGAGAATATAATTATTGATAATTATCACTGAAGAAAATAAAACAAACGATCCTAGAGAATGACTTGAAAGAATTTGCCAACTCAACTCTCAGCTCTATAAATAAAATATCACTCGTCCTCAAGAGGAAAGTGCATCTATCGATAAGAGAGAACATTTACCCTTCTTTCATCCTCATTACACGGTCATCACTTGAAAGGTTCCTTTCTCCCAACCACCTAATGAAATCTGGAGATAATGTTTCATTGGCTGGGTTAACATCAATGATGATGGAGTCATCAACATAAGGAGTCACCCTCGCTCCATAGCCCGTTTTTACCAATGCTCTCAAACCTGACTGGAAATCGGAGATGTAGAAATCAACTGCACGCCTCTGTCGAGAAGATAGACACAAGAAGGTTACATTTGAAAGTTTAAAAATCTCAAAGCTCTAGCAAAAAATTAAATTAAATTAAATCCTTCAAAAGACAGAACAACAGCCCAGATAAGAACCCCATGCAATTAGATAACCTTGGACAGCATAAAGAAAAAATAATGACAGACTAACCAGCTTCTGAGGAAACATGAATACAGTTAGTCGAGCAATGCTTTCACATACTTAGTGACATGAGAAAGGAGACAGAAGCTTCAGTATATAATATCAACTGACACCAAAGGGAAAGAAAGGCACAAACCTCCCATTAAATCTCACGACATAGTGAAGGACTTTAACAGATGAAATGAAACAATGTCCATCAGACTGAGGTTGCAATGGGTCAAGGCAGAGGTGTTTCTTGGCTGCCCTGCCTCCACCCTACCTCTTAAATATTTCATCCCACCCCGTATCAGGGGAAAATTTTCATCTCGCACTCACCCTGTGACAAAAAAATTAATCTCCATACCCACCCCACCCTGCCCCATCTAAAAAATAACACAAAATAAAAAGAAAAATATAATTTAATCACACTAACTCAAAGATTGTTGTTTAGCCAATCATGCTAGCAAATATAGATACTCACTAAATTGAACTATATGACTTTGGTTCACAACAAATCTCTCCTATATGTTCATGGTGGGGTGAGGTGACCAAGATCCACCACCAGCACAAGTATTTTTTGAAATGGAAAAAAAAAAAAAACTGCCCTGACCAACCTCCAACCCCTTTCAAAGTAAGAAAAAAGCCACACCTTTCAGGTCCAACCCCCAACTCAATTCAAAGAAACAAAAAGGCCAACCTGAAAGGTGGATAGGGTTTCACCATCCTGAAATCAAACATCAATGCGGAAACATTATTTTTGGAAATACGAAAAGACTCAGAAAATGATTATCTATGAAAACTTGAAAAATAAAAGCACCAATTTGAAAATGGGGACAATGTCCATCTTCTCATACAACATTTGTTTACAGCACACCTTTGCAGATAACTGTTTAAGTAGGAGCCACCTGTATCAGTTCACAGCTTACCTGAGTACTCATAAAAGCATTACTCTAACTGCTTGAAATTGTGCAATGAGGACATGCCTTTTTTATTAAAAATCTAAAGCATGGAGGTGGGGAGACCAATATTGATTAAAAAAACCCTTAAAAAAGGGCAAAGTACTTATTGAAATTAAGAACTTAATACTCCAATAACTTACTTCCAACAATCGAAGTCCCCAGGTAAAACGACGATGAGTAGGATTGGCAGCTTTAGAATCCCATCCTCGGTACTCGTACAAACTAGTAGACGTATACACACATCTAGGAACTTTCTGGAAGGATGACTCAAGAGGCACATTACCACATGTTACCACCTTCAAGAAATACAAGCAAACGCTTAGATGTCATGAACATGTAGGGAGCCAGGTAAAATTAGAGAATAAAAAAAATATATACACAAGCTTTACCAAAATCACTAGTTTTTTTCAGCTCCTACAACTTAGACAACATACAACATGCCTAAAAGTGAATCGTATCTTCACCAATGCTCATAAATGTCTAGACAAATCTGGATGAGCAGGCTCAGCCCCATGGTAATTATCACAGGAACTTAGTTGGCAAATTTAAACCAACATCTAGACAGATTCACTTTAACATCACACTTCACATGTAACATATTGAATAGATTATCGATGTTCAAATATGTATGTTACATAACATTACTGTGAAAATCTATAAATTAGAGTGCTAACTCAGAAAGACATGCTAACTAACTCAAGCCCATGGATTCATTACTCTGAATATTCATGTTCACCACACAAGTGGTATGAATCTAAGGCACCAATATGAAAATAGACAACTTTACCATTTCCAGAAATGATCAGGTAGAATGCAGCGCAGGCCTTTCAATGTCTCTAGTAAGCAAATTAATAACTTAATTGACTTATAAATTGGTGTCAGTCGGTCCATCCAGAAATTATTTTCACCTTTTACAGTTCTAAATTTTTACAATAATTAATAGGATAGGGTATATATATAATATAAAATACAATAAGATTACAAATATTCCCATTCCTCGTATTCTCACTTCTACCCACCACCACCTTCTTCTCTAAGGTATAACTTTCTAAGGGACAGTGTCACTCTGAAAATCCTAATACCTCTTCCCAGTAACATACTGCTACTTCCATTGATTTATTTTTAGTTGATATTCAAAACTTGTTTGCAAACAGGATAGGAGAATTTAAGATACAAATTTAAAATAGTTAGCCATATCCCCCCGCTCCCAATAATAAACAAATAAATAAAATAACATGGGTAATGCAATCTCAAAAAAATTTCAGTTACACAAGCCCCAAGGATCAGACAGTTAAGAGTCCAAAAGAGGGAGATTAGAGATTCAGAGCCTTAAAAAAAGGGTAGAAAGGATTTGCACTTGAGCAAAACAGTGTTTAAAAACATTGGACACTCATGTAATTGTCAATCTCTAATTCCAGTATAAAAAAAAGGTATCCTACCAAATTAAATCATTAAATCACATACCCCAGAGATCTTCACAAATTGCCCATTCTTTGCATTTCGGAGCTCAGCATCAGGATAATGAGCAATAAAACCCATAATAGCTCTTCTCCCCCAACATGAGTTCCAAGCAAATAATGCAGCAACAGTACCAAAAAGAACCACAACAACAATGAGGAGAATGGCATTGTGAACAGCTCCAAGAATAAAACCACCAGCAATGAAACCCATCACAAAAAGCAGTATCAATGACCATAATATAGGTTTTGGAAAGTTTCTCTTGAAAGAAAACTCATCATCTTGGTTCAGAATAGTCACAGCCTGATTATGTGCAACAGCAGAACCATGTACCTTCATTGATCCCATTGATTCCAAAGGACCAGAAACTTTTCTAGGAGCCCCAGAAGAATTTAGTGGGCCAGATGAGATAGGCCCCGATGTAATGAGACCAGTTGCAGGAAGAACAGGAATAGGACCAGAGTTTTGTCGTCCACTTGGCGTTACTCCACCAGATTGGGGGCCAGATGATTTCTTTACAGGATCCCCATGTCTATTCAGGGTCCAGAATTTGACTTCTTTAATGAGGCTGAACCAGACATGCCTCCAGTAGGTCCAGGGCCTGAGGAGGTATAGCCTGCCCGAGGTGCTGCATTAGGCATGATTGGTCCAGAATGTGACGCAGCACCTCCAAAAGATCCAGTCCTTGAAGGGGCATTACTTATAGGTCCAGATTTCCTAGACTTAGAGCCATCCATAGGGATATCAAACATTTTCCCCAATTCTCCTGACTTCTTAATATCACCACCAGTATAAGGCATGGCTACTGAGCTCATGGTCGGAGTCCTTTCCTTAGGCTGTTCTGGCCTACCTGATACATAAAGGCCATTGCTGAGCTGATGAGATGGGAATCTGGAACCCATCTAGCTTCGTATGTACAATGCAGAAGATATTACACAGAAAAGGTTTCCAGCAGCACGATGACAAGTAACTCAAGTCCTCCTGAAAAAAAAAAAAAAAGCACCTTAGCTATCAGAAGAATAGTTCAATTCTCATAATTACAGAGATATAGTCTGGTGTTATAATGAACCAAGCATCAAAAAATACAGACTATGGACTTACATAAACACACATATAACAGCACTAAAAGGCACATTTTCAAATTATTCTTCTACATGATAAAATACTGTTCTCATGAAATTCACATACATAAACAGAAGCAGCACTAAAATTCCAATAACTGGTATCATGACAAATTTCCATTTGAGCTAAAGCACGAGTGGGTTGATAGTTAATCAGCCAATTTGAGTCAGATCTGTGACATGGAGCGTAACATCTGACGGTAGCAATATGGAAACCAAGAATCTCAACAAAGCAAATTCAGTGACAGGAAAAACAATGACAAAGAAAATGAAAAAGGATAGAATTGAACAGACCAACTTGATCAAATCAGTGTACCTGAAAACAGGATTAGAAAAATCAGATTCTTCAACAATGGTTACTGCAGAGAAGAACTCCATAAAAAAACCCAAAGTCTTCTGATTAAAAAAGCCATTTAAGAATCCCAGTTTGCAGTAATTGTTATTAAGAACACTTCCATACAAACACTGCTACACTCTGTTTCCCATTACTATTCCTAGAAACAAAATTAAAGTACCTGAGACATATCTTCTGCTGCTTAAAATTTTAAAAAGTTCTATAATGTCCTACAAGAAAGCTTCAGAGCTTCATTGTGATTGAGTGGAGACTACTGTAATCCCATAAAACCCCGCAAACTTGAATCCACAAGTTAGACCTCCAACAAGTATATTACTATTCAGGAAATTATATCCACACAAGCATTTAGAAAAGGAGTGAAGAGAACCATGAAGATCTGAAACCATGAGAAGAGAATCAGAAACTACCAGTCCAGTTCGCTGAGATTTTACTGACAGCAGACTTATTTTATTCTCCTCTCGAATGGTTTATAAAGAACTACTGAATCAAACTCAGTCAAATTACAAAGATTCTACAAGGGATCATTAACGTCTTCATTCTAAAGATGAGAGAGAGAGAGAGAGAGAATTTCAATCAATCACCCAAAGGAAAGAATGAAGCATACCCAGATCACACTTTGAAACAAAATTGAGATGAAAAGATTGAGATCCAAGGCTCAATTAACAAAAGTTCGCAATGACTAGAAAACGTTTGATTCAACATTTGGAAGCTCTTTTTCCCACTTTAAAAATGGCAAGTACTAGTGAAAAGATTGTAGATTGTCATAGCTTTCCAATTAAGAAAGATATATCCTACAAAAAGACACATGCTGTAGCGTATACCAAACACCTAAGGAACCAAATTGACAGCCCAAATTAAGGGGGGGAAAAACGTACATTCCCATCCTATTGTTTCTTTTTACTAGAAATAGAGAAAAATGAAGGAGATCTATGTAAACAAGTAGATATTTTCAAGCTTAAAGAGTTAAAGATCAATGAATGACATAACCCGTATTACGAAAAGGACAAAGTTTTGCTTAAGAAGACCCAGAAGCAAACGAAGAGGTAAAACAATGTCTAAAGCGTACCCAGATCACCATTTTGAAGAAAATCCAATAAAATGGGAAAGATCTGAGGAAAAAGAACAAGCTTTAAAGGGGAATGAAGACAGAAAGACATACCTGAAACTGAAGAAGAAGACGACGAAGACGAAGACACATGAACTGAAGAGGAAACCACGAGATTTGGAGACATCATACGAGAAAAAAAAATCGAACAAAAATAAAAAAACCACTCTCTTTCTCAGGAAAAATGGTTTTAGTAGAAAGAGTAGCAGTAGTAGCAGCAGTAGTATTTTGTTTCCTTCTTCCTGGTGAGCCTTGAAACTTGAGAGAGCCGCAACATCCGGTGGGTTGTCTCGTCCGGCCAATTCCTCCAAACCAAATTTATATATATATATATATATATATATATATTATTTTTCTTTAAAATTTCACTAATTATTTAACCATTAAAGTAAAAATATTTGTGAGAGAAATTATTACTGGTATTGTCATATAGAGGATGGATGGACTCGCTCCCTGCTCCTCTTCTCTTCCAGTTCTTGGTTAGGTCATGAATACAAATGTTGAAATGACGAATTTACCCACTACTTTAGCATTCTTTATTTTTTTTTAATTGACGTGACTTACACTTTTGCACCCAGCACACACACGTGCCTTGATTTGTTACTTTCTCCTTATTGCCACTTTCCCCCGTAACTTTGGAATTTTGTTCACTTGGCCCCTAATCCTCCATTTACCAAGGAATACTTGGTCTTTGTTATCTTACACGTGAATATTTTCAGTTTAATTAAATATAAATATTTTGAATTTTAAATAATTTAAATTATTTAAGATCTTTCATGCATATATAAGCGTGGATATATTTATAACATGTTTTATTAACGAAAATAGATATATTTACTCATTATATAATTAAAATTTTATGTAATTATTTTTATTATAATTATTAATAGATTTATGTAATTATCTAATATATTTACTGATTATATAATTAAATTTTTGAATGATTTCGTTGAAAAATATTTTTCTTAATTCTAATAACATCGAATAATTTATAAATTAATATTATAAAAAAATTTCCATTATTTATACTATTTTAGGAACATTTGTATTTTATATAATTATAATTTTGAAAATAAAAAAATAAATATGCACATATGAATTGATTTATTGTTCAATACAGTGTTAAGAATTAAAACAAACATTTATACAATCAGAATTCTTATATATTGAATAAATTTTATTAAAATTAAAAATAAAAATATTTAAAATGTAATGAATAAATATATTCAGTTTCATTAATCAAAAATCTTAATAACAGCCAAACTTATATATATATATAAATTTTATCTTTTCTATCTCAAAATTCGAACTTTGAAGGTTAGAAATTGAAATTTCAAATTTTAACCAGTAAAATATCATTGAAAAGTTAAAACATAAAAAAAAATTAAAATCTCACATTTTTAAAAATATAAAATATGTGAAAATACATTTACAAGATTGAGTTATATGGATCATTAAGGACTAATCGCATTTTGGCACCCGAAATTAACATACTTTACTTATAAGAAAACGTGAAAATCAGTAATAATTAAATAATAAGTATACTTAAGGTCATGATGCCATCTACATTAAAAATGTTTTTCTTTTTATTTGAATTGACTCCTTAAATTTCATATATATCGAAAGAGAGATAATATTTTGCTGAAAAAGCATAAGACCATGTTCTTCCTTTTTTGTTTTTTTAAAGAAATAAAAACAAATAAAAAAGCAAGACTTATTCTTCCCATTAGCCTCGTGTGATTCATTTTCTATCACGTTTATTGATTTACTTATAAATATTTATTTTCTTCTCTTGAACCATTATATATTAACATTAAATTTCTTTGATGATCTACCAATAACATTTAAAATGTAATCTTCGGCAAAGGATTTGGACCAACTCTTTAATCATTAAAAATATAAAATTATCATTGAATTAAAATGACATAATATCTAAAAACAAATTATTTTTTATTTAAGAAAATTCAAATAAACTCTTGTTCTTTTATTACTTTCAATTAAAGTCTTAAATTTTGAGACAACACAATGTCTCATTCCACGTTTAAAAATAGTTAATTCCCACCCACACATGTGCCAATGAATATTGTTATCCAAACGAAAAGAACCATTTCAGCCAATAATAAAATCTTGAATGAAACAGCTCTCATGACTCATGGACCGTACAAGTGCAAAAATAAATGTTAATATGCTTAACCTCATATTACACACCACGGGGGAAAAATGGGATCATCCAACCCTATAACCAGATGTGACAAAATGAATAATTAGTAATATAGGCTTAATTGCTTTTTCATACATTGAAGTTACATAAGTGAAATGATTTCCTACTGATTATGGTGATCTATTCCTGTCCTCAATGACATACTACAGCTAGGCAAAAAGATGCCAATACCTATACCACAAGAATGCTGCCAAAAAATAATCAATATAACAATGATTTAAACAATGAGCAGATACTTGGTAAATATCAAGACAAGATGGATTATGAGTTCAATTTTAATTTGGTTCTCCACATTTCTCCAATGACCTTCTTCGGTGCGGGATCGCTTGGCCCTTTGTCTCGCTGCCCAGATGTGAAATACAACCATCCTCGCCAATATCCGACCAGTGTGGTTTTCACACGGAAGGGGAGTTTTCCAATCACGGACCACTTCTGCAATATCAGAATGAACAAACGTAAGAGATTAATGGCAAGATGCTAAATTAGGCACCCTGTAGCCGAAATTTTCACTTCATGTGAACAACAGGCGACTTCACAGTCAGGTTGGCTTGTTGCTGCTGCTGCAATGATATATGCAGATTACAAAAACTATAAATGTAGTGCAGAGAACATTCAAAATGTAATTTACATGACATAATATATGCCCACATGCAAAAGTTATGAATATAGTATCATATATGATGATTATCCCATACAGATGCATATATGCTAAAAAGTATAGTAACATATATGCATCGGAAATGCATACATGTTAAAAGTATACCAGAGCATCTAATAGGAAATTAGAATCCACTTCTTGCAAACTTGTTCAAACTTTTAGAAATGAGGCCTGAGATGCACAGCAAGACGGAAGTGCATATGGCAAAATGAAAAATGCATTCAATCTCATAAAGCAGTTGACTCGAGATTAAAAACAATTACAGTAAACTACATTCAACGCCCCATGGTTTTCGTGCTTTGCAAAAATCATATATGGATTCATTTCCAACTCTTAGAGCCCTTGAGATTTCCTCCATAACGAAAAGATGTAGCAGTGTTAATTTTTTACCTTAAGAAAAACTGAACACTCTCAGCTTAAAATGGTCTTATAAAAAGAGTAAAATGGCGAGGTTGTTTTATCCTTTCATTAAGAAGTTAACATAGTGACTCCCTACTCATAATGAAGGAAACCCCACTGAGTCTACATGTCAAAAATAAAAAACCACACAATAGTTTCTGTCAACTGTGAAAACTACTGGTGTGAGAAATGCAGTTTGCCCAAAAATAAAGTAGATAAAGCTGAAGGGAACAAGGAAGTGCCAACATTTTGAGCTGCAGCAATTCAAATTGAGGCATGTGTGAGCATTGAAGAGGGTCATTTTGTGGATAATTACATAGTTGCACACATATGCCAGATATATGCATATACCTACATATATGTGCACACCTAAGTCTTCTTTGCATTTGTGTGTATGTATACATATGCACACACAGCAAAAACATATCGGCTCGTGCATGTAACATACGTCCATATATACCACAATCTTCTATTATCAAGCCATACAAAGGATAAGAAGATAATACCAGGGTATCTAGATTAAACTGAAACACTTCTCCAACCAGAACCATCTTTTTGGTTACAGGGTGTTTCTCTGTCGTGCCTCCAACAATGACAATAGAATTGTTAACAATTGTCCAAGCAAATTCAATATGTGAATCTGGCTTTGGCATAGGAGGTAACGTTTTCCACTTCATTTCATCATCCAGCATGTATACATCACCATACACCACCTGGGAAAAATTAGAAAATGAGTTAAATATATGCCTGTATATTTATTTAAAGGAAAAGATATACTTAATGCAAAATTTATTAGACAAGATAGGGAGGACAACCAGTGGAAAACTCATTAAACCTAATAAGGAGAGATCATCTTCAGAAGGTCGAGAAAATGCCAAATCTATTGCCAAAAGGTACAGATGCAATAATCTGACTTTAGAGAAAACATCAGTCCAGTAGTCCAGGGCACAATTTGTAACACATAAAATTAATCACTTATGATACCCATATATTAAATATAATATAACACATTGCATAAATCACGCATCATAAACTACTCACAAAAAGCTATTACATTAATGCTTTCAAAACAGAGGAAATAACATAACAAGGCTCACTTGCATTTTGCCTACATTGCTAATAACATTGGTGATGAGTTTGTAGATATTCCCTCATCTAACCCACATGTTTCATTTGCATAATTTACATAATTTTCAATTTTAAGCGAGAAAGATGGATAGTAGGGTATACTTGTAGGGAGTAACATGACCTCTGATCTCATGGCATGAATATATGGACTGGATATCACGAAAATCTATTTATCTTTAAATAGCACTGTGTTCTTTGGATAAGATTTACATACACACATCCATGAGCAAATATGTGGTTTCTT